ACTGTTTGCTACATTACTTTTGTAAAGAGTTTTATTAATTATTTACTGTTATTTTGATAAGGACTTAGGGCTAATCAATAAACTTTGATTTGATTTGGAGAGGAGGACTACTAGAATGGTGAAGCTTCTTGAAACAAAGTCATACAGGAATGGTTAGAGGATCCAGCAGAAAAGATGCCTGGGGGAGTTATGATAGTGGTCCTCAAATATCTAAATAGTTCTCACACAGAAGGAATAGACTTATTCTCTGTTGCCCCACAGGCCAAGACCACAACCTATGGATTAAAGCTACAAAGAAAGGCTTAGGCTAGACATCAGGAGGAACTTTTTGATTTTATGAGTCAGTGAAATGGACTGCCACATGTAGTGGTAAATTCTTCACTGGATTTCTTCAAATAGCATTGTCATCTGACAGATGTGCTAGTGGATCTTGAACTGAGCAGAAGGTTGGACTAGATGCCTTCCAATATCACTTCCAACTCCATGATTCTGTGAAATGCTCAGGGATGGAAGTGGGAATTGAACAGACTTGAAAGTAGTAGAGTGTCCTGTTCTAGGCTGAGCCATCACACAGTAGTAAGTTGCAACTGATTTAATGATGAGATGGTAATTTAGATAACTAAGGCAGGTAGAATGCTCAACTGAATAATACAGGAAAGTGCAACCCTGCCTGGTGGCCAGGGTGCAGTGCTGGGAGTGTCAGTACAGGTTAAAGCTAAGAGTTAGGGATCCAGAGCCAGAGATCCACAGCATCCAGTCCAGCAAAATAGCTGTAAGAGACAGTGCAGGGCCAGAAGGTGGATAGCCAGTGCTGTCTAGGTCTGGGCAGAGGGGCAAGGTGGCAGCAGAGAAATGGGTGCTCTGTATCAGTCTAGGATTCAAACCCAGTCCCAGATGTAAAGGCTGGAACTGAGAACAGAGCGAGGATATGGGAGGGCAGTGATGCTGGAGAATGGTTTCCAGTGGAGAGTAAGGTCCTGGCAGTCAATTAGGGGTGTTGCCTGTAAGGTTTGCCCCGTTCGACAGAGAAACTCCCGTGACACGTGTGGTTCACAAAAGAGGTTTACTCATGCGTAACGAAGCAGTCCCAAGCAAAGCCAGGACTGGCTTGGTACATTTACATTACACCTTTATAGTTGTCTCAATCCCCCCCCCGCGGGCCCCGTTGCTAGGTTACATCTTACAAATTAGATTGCAGATTGCCCCCTGTAATCCCCCCCTTCTACTGGAATGGCAGGTTC